TAAACCATTTCTTCTGTGTACCCAAGTTCCTTCAGTACTCCACTCACCTGCAACATTATGCAAATATATCATATCCCAGGTAGACCCCATATATATATATATATATATATATATATATATATATATATATATATATATATATATATATATATAGGTACTCCTGACACGAACCATAGGACGACATTCACAAGATATTCATCATGAATGTTGTAAAAATTTCACATTCATTAATCACGATGAACGAGGACATGTGTTGCAGTCTCATTTGTCCCCTAGTTCGCAACGGAAATCAAGTTTGCAACTGAACCAGGTTTTGGTGAGAAATGAAGTTATGGTGAGAAACATAGGAAGAGATTTCCACCCTTGGATCAATCCTAATTGAATGTCAACACTAATGAGGTGCACTTGATCAATTCTCTTCTGAAACACAATTCATGGGTAGGCATGAGATTAAAAGTGATTAAGGGTTCAAATCTCTTCTTACACTTCTCAACATAACTTCCTTTCTCACACGATCCTTCGCCTATATCTGATAGAAAATAGGTATCGTTAATCGAACACAAGGTACAAACCTCCCCTTGTGACCAATCTTTCGCCTTCCCACCAGATACATGTTCCATCATTCCAGGTGGACCACACACCTGACACACAAACAAGCAACAACACATTTTAATTATTTTTTGAGTTTATTGAAAATATCGTCGTTTATAACTAGCTTTTCGAATTGTTACTTAAAGGTCTTGTTTTGGGTTATTCGGCTTTCGTTGACCCAATCCCATGCATAATGAAGACAAGAAAACACAATACCATGCAATGCAACCTATTTAAACATATCATGAAACTATGTGAATTTTGGTTGTCCAGATATCAACTAAACCAAATTGTCCCCATCACCAAAATTTCATAGGATCAGTTGCTAACATCAACAAACTTATAAACGCTTATTATTTGGGGTGTACTTAAGTGAAATAATTAACCACCTGAACCTGCCAACTTAATGCTACCTAGTCCCTTAAGTAGTCTCACACTCTTAAATATGACTTCTGAAAGCATGTTACCCGAGATAGGAATTGAACGAAAGTACAACTTTTTTTTAATGCAATTTGCCTCTTTTTTTTGGCTAATCTAAAGATATCCGACCTAAGAGTCGAATAATATAGGAATATGAGTATGGGATCCTTTGAGAGTGTTGAGTCTTGACACCCTCAAATCTTGCAGGGATGAATGATGATGCCATTATGCATAAATGGTTAGAGAAAACCTAGCGAAATGAGTAATCTGCAATTCCTTATTGTAGGGTGCTCTCATTCTCCATTTACAACACAATTTCATACCCTGCTATATTGCATGGGGCACTGCTAGTTCCTCTTATATATGGATTTGATAAGACTGGCATTATTAGAAGTCAAGTAAACTGGAAGTTATTTGGTGATGAAAAGGATAAGATCTTACGAGTATAAGTGTATCGTCATTTGGAGCAGGTAAGCCTTTTGAGGCCATATCCTTTGATATATAACCTGTACCTCCAACCCAGTACTTTGAAGGACTATCAACAGTATAAAATACCTGGAAATTTAAAAAAAATGGCAGTTCATAAGTATAAATCATAAGCTACAGAGAGACACTCTCTTCATAGTATTAGTAAAGCTGGTACCTTCAAATTAGGGTGGCTAGCAGCAAGCATATCAAGTTTCTTTTTTAGCAGGATATCATCTGGAGATACATTAGCATAAATCAAAGATACCTGAAATGACATGAAAAGTAACACATTATGTGACAGAGCAAGATCCATTGGCTAATAATCCCACCCCTTCCACCTATCAGACCGATCATTTCTAGTTAAGGCAAAAACCATCTTAGTTATTTTAATTATTTGATGTATTAGTAAGATTATTATCATTGGTAAAACTATTTCAGATGCAAGTGTATGGTGACTGGGGCACACATCATGGATTGTAATACGATTAAGAAGACAAAAGTCCTTACTTTGGTGTTATCATCTGGATTCTTAAGAATGGCCTCAATAACCTGAAGCATTGGAGTGATTCCTGAGCCTCCTGCAATCTGGATAGATGAAGTATTTTAGACACTACAATGTTGTCAAGAGAAGAACATAAATAGATTCTTCATGCTCTGAAATACATGTCGATCAAGGTAAATAATTTTCCACAAGGATGGTGTTGTCGATCTTCAGAGAAGAGAAATCTATCTTAAAAGCATATAATACCAAAACGAGTATGTACAATGGTCTATTCATCCAAGACATAACTCATGGACAATACGACCCACTAGACCCAACCTGCCCAGCCCATTAGAAACACAGACTTGGACAACCATTCTCGAAAAAGTTATCAGGCCCATGTTGACTGTTAAAAAATTGGGCGGCTCTGGGTGATAAAGAAACCAGACTGGCTTGCGCGGCCCATTTATATTTTTATAATTAATTAAATTTTATACGTAACTAATATTTTATTACTTTTTTTTATTTATTAAAAGTAGTTTAAGAATCCCACTTGTGAATAATGTTTCCATGAAATTTGGAAGGAATATTTCCAATCCCTTTGTGAATAGTGTTTCCATAAAACCAGTTTTTAAAAAAGGTAGCTTGTCAAAATAATCCAGCATAAAAAATCAAATTCACACATGTTCACATAATTTGAATACAATTATATCATATACTTCTATATGAACTGCTTATGTTACTGCCAGATGCTTGATCCACACTTAGACGATCAAGTGCTAAAGGTCATTCAACTGCGTAACTCCACTTACCTCTTTTTAAAACACTTAGAAAGTAAGTGCAAACAACTTTACATCTCAACCTGTAATCTTATCTTCAACAGAATATGGATATTTCAAAACAACCAATCAAAACTTAAATCAAGTAGACATAAAGCATGACACAAGCTAAAGACATAAAGGATGGTTTCGTGAAACCGTTCCAGCAATAGTTCCTCCACAAAATCCAAAATTCAATAGAAAACTACTCTTTTTCTTAGTTGTTATAACTATGGTGGCATAACAAAACCAAAAGATTGCACTCACCATGCCAATGTGTTTTTTCATATTGGGAATGTATTTGATCTTTTCAATTGGCCTGCAAGAGCTCCATTTTGTCAGCTGTAAGGAGATACACAATTTATTGAAGATATATACTAGCTTAACTGAGTGGTTTACCCTTTTACTTCAAGCACATCACCCGGCTTTAGATTTGCAAAATGTTGGCTCATTTTTCCTTCAGGATAAATCTGGAGAAGAAATGTAATATAAGTATCACAATTTATTTTTTTGATAAGGAGTATCACAATTTATTCAGGCAAGAATCAAGTGTAGCACTACTCTGCATACCTTGATCATCAAATCAAAGTAACCTTCAGAATCTGGATCTGATATTGGGGTGTACCTGAAGATAAAAATGACTATAAGTAAAGCATAATAAAACAATATGTGCTCTGAAACTTCAATGCTTGTTTATACTTCGGTTACATAATGAGCATACAGAACTATGTGCTTGTAAATTAGGACTTAGGAATGATCACTTGCAATTTATTTTTCTTGCAACAGCATACCACTTCGGTGCTGGGGTTCGACTCGGATAAATTAAAAGCCTAAATTGGATGCATTTGGGATCAAGAAGGTTAAATATTACATGATGACATATAAGATTGAACAAAGGATCTTGTGAAATTGAAGAAAAGTATGTTAGAAAGAAGCTGCTTACAATGGATCTAATTAGAAAACTAGAACCATAAACATCTTTGAGATCAAACCAATTAAGCATGCATATAATCCATCTGTAAGTATGAAACATAGAATGCTCATATTCACAAGAAAACTTACGGGCGAACAACATATTTTGTTTTCCCTTCAGCATCTTCTCCCAATGGAGCCCTACAAAACCAGAAAACAACCCATCATTAAGGTGGGAGGCATATGCAATTTACGCCGGAAACCTCTTGTGAAGTTTCTTTCTAGCTAACATTATAAACTTGATTCCATTAAGGTGTTCAAAATCTTGCCTTGTAACAAGGCATGATGCAACACCAAGTCCCAATTTGAGATTTGGATCAAAAGAAAACCTGCAATTATTGAGGACAAAAAATTACTCCACGGATCAACTTCTGAGAACACAAACCAGAGGTGGACTAAAAGAAATCCCAGCCACACTACTAAATGTCTGACCATGTTTGATGGGATCATGACTCCAGCAGTCTAGCAAACACCCATAATAGAATTCACCAATCATGAATATAATCTTCATGTAATAACTACACTTTGATCTCAAAAAGAATGAAGTGTGCATTAAAGGTAGATGATATTCACTTGCATAATACAATTTGGCCACAAAAAGAAATTGGCATTGGAAAAGATAGAACATAACATAAAAAAGATGAGGTAATCCTCTATGAACGTAAAAGTTCCAACATCAACACATGCCAGAATCTTCTTTTATGTGAAATTCAATCCTTAAAAATGAATCGAGGATGGAAGAAAAGGCATTACCATGGAATTAAAACTATAACCCATGTATCTTGCTAAATAATGGTGTAGGTAGAAGACTGCCAAGGTTTATTCATTACCTCACCATCCATTGACCAATAAAAATCTAAGAGATGCAAAAGATAATAACAGCTTGGTGGTAATCAATGACAAAAACTTGAATTCTTGATGACATTGTTCGGGGACAAGGTATTCGTTGTGGAAGGGCATTACCTCACAGGCTCACCTTAGTCTTTGTCACTCAGAAGTTGTGTCACTAGTCCATATTGTGACAAGATGTGACCCAATCAAACACATAATGTCTCAAGCTATATTATTGATTCTACAGTTTATTAAAAAGAGTGGGATCAATTTAATCTGGCAATAATAACTGATGCACAAGAAACATATGTGGAAGCATGATGCAGTATAGGAAACATCCAGTCTAGAACATAGGGAAAGGAAAATGTCTCGTCATTTTCAACTTGCAACTTCCAAACTACCGACGCAAGAAAGCGAATAATTGGGAGTACGAAGATAACCTGTATAACTGGGTATTATGACTGACTTTAGCCTTCTCTTGCAGCTTAAACTCTATCCATTTATCAGGATTGAGAGCTGAAATATACAAAACCATCATTAGATTAAATTACTGGTGATCACCAATGATGCATCATATTGAACAAAGGTGTCAGCTCATCTATGTAGAAATACAAACAAATACTAAATTAAACAAGTTCAAATACTTACTGAATGTACCCTACCATGACTTACAAGTTATATATATATATATATATATATATATATATAACAGTACTGCATAGCATCCGGGTAGTATTCTTATTTGATTAACATTTCAGGTGTGATGTAGCTAGCTTCTCCAAAGTATGAGACAGTCTATATCATATTCTAAATACAGCTGCTATCATGATCATTTTTAGAGGGATGCTGAGAATAATGCTTGAAGTTCATGTTGCCTTTTGCTTCACTTATCGCATTTTCACATGACATAAATTTAGCTTTTATATAATCTTTCACAACACAAATTATATGTTTACTAAGATATGTATTGAACGAACAGACCAAAAATCATGTACTAAAATTTACAAGGAATGTGTTGAACCATGGCCACACCCCAAGCACTGTTTTGTCACATTATTCATAAGAATAGACAACAATATATCAAGGTATAGAAGGCAGAGCCAAAGTGCAATCAGAAGAGATAAGTTTACAGATTAGAACACCTTATTTGTTTAGATTCGTTCCAATGAGAAAGGGCATATCAAATATCAATTACATAGGTACATTCTGAAAAGGAAAGCATGGTTTTTGTTTGAGAAGAAAGGGCTATGATGAAACCAAAGGTGCATTCTAAATTAATATTACTGCCATGTTGGTAGTATTGTAAAGAAACGTATCTGTAGTGGCACACAGTAAACATTTCCTAACTATATCCATGGTTAACATATCACAATTACTTAAAAACTATCATGATGGGATGAGAGAAGATGAAACAAAAAACCAACCAGTTTTAGGACCTGTCTCCTCATTGATTTGATCCAGATGAACCTGTCAGCAGACATAACAGATAATTGGTCAGTGATCCTTAATATTGCCTTCACCAACAATACTATATTGTAATACATTTAAAGTATAACCAAGTCAAGAGAAAAAACATGTGCCAAACTTTCAAACCTAAATATGTTACATACATGCTCTTCCTGCAATATATACATCATTACATACAGAACAGGAGGATGCAAGTTAAAAGCATACAGGCAACTGGATAAATGGAGGAAGAAACAAAAAGCCATTGAGCAAGAGTGCCAGATGATTATGAGGTGGTCTTTAATCTATATACGGGCTGGTTGTGGGATGAAAATGCATATTGATAGGAATAGCATGAAACGGCATTTGAAAAGTTTCATTAGAATGCTATCAAGGTCCTGAACCCATTCCAGGACCAATTCAGTGAAGCTAGATCTACCCTATGTCACCAAGACACCACCGCCAAGGTAGAGCTAATTGTTTCCATTGTTGGGTTCCAACAACCATATCCTCAGTACCTCTTAAAGCTTGACTCTGATGACTACAGCATACCCGGTATGCAATCACCTCATCAACCCTCTCCATATCATGGATTTCCACGGTGTAGCATTCACCCATCGAATTCAGCTTAGGGAGAGCTTTTAGGTAAACTATCTGTATATGATTGGCTCATCATATTCTACTGGTGTTTTCTACAACATTCTTTGTGGTAAGGTTTCCAGCTGGTAAAGCAGGTTGTTAGTGCATTTGTCATCTGTTCAACTGGTAGTATATTGAGATCAATCCTTTGTTATGCTCTTGGCATCTTGCTCAATGGATAGGCACATTTCAAGGAATCAATCTTGTTAAACGAGTTGAACAACCTCTTATGGGTTACAATTCAAGCCCCTGTCCTGCTGTCTATTCGGTTTTGAAGTGGTATTCAGAGCTCGGGTTGAATTGATCAAGACATGATTAGGAGTAGAGGGTTTTTAAATTTCAATTATGACATCCATAAGATGTTGGGTTTATCAATTTATCATCTTGTGTAATTGCAATTTGTTTGGAAGGCAACTTGCCTCCTTAATTCTTAAGTTGTTACTGCATTATAACTTCAATTTTGGATCTTACAAGATCTATATCTTGCGGGACATCTTCTTGAGATGTTAGTTTAGAATAACCCCCCCCCCCCCCAAAAAAAAAAAGTACATTGTTGTCTTTAAAGTTCAATAGTCGCATGCCCCACCTGCACTTGTCAATTGCCAAAGACCAGAGCTAGTAGCATCAATCACATCATGGAGTATGCAAAATTGTACAGTTGAAGAAGCTTTACTCTTCTCTTGCTTTTCCAGATGACTAGCAACACCTTAACCAGTAAATACCCTTCATATAATTCTATTGATTGTATATCTTGTGAAGTTCAATGAGTTCCACATTCTTCTAACTTTAAATTAATACCATTAAGCTGAATGGTGAACCTCAATCCGCTTGAGATCCAAGATTCATGGTTACAGTTTAGCTTTTCTCTTGTCATGGAAGAAGAGAAGGTTCTAACTCCTGGTTTTAACGATTGGTTATGTTCTCTAGATCAATTCTTTACACGATCCAAGCAAACAATCAAATAATCAATTCCCAAGTAGCAAAAGCCAAACCTAATTAACAGATACAAACAAAACACTGAAAACTACATTTCATATACAAACGATTCAGCTTACGGACGCACATATCACATTATCCACACAACGACATAAACAACAAATCGAAAGTACAGATGAAGAAAAGTACCAAATTTGGCTCAGAAAAGTAATAGAAATAGGAGATTCCGCCAGAGATGGCAGCGATAGCTCCGACTGGAAATCGAAACTGAGTTGAAGTTGATTGCGATTGGGTTCTGAAAGCGTGAGAAAATGCGATCGGCGCAGCTTTGCCTAGTCTCTTGAAGAACGTCGACATCTTCAACAAGAGCGAGAGAGAGAGAGAGAACTGAGATTTTGAGGGTTTTGGTTATGTTCTCTCCGACTTTCAGGGGAAGACACGAATCACGAATGTAAGAATAATCGTCTACGAACTAATCTATGGTAAGTTCCCTAGACCTCATCCTGCCATTCGCTTGATAATTTTCGGAGTTAAAGTTGATCTCGAATATAAATAAAACTCGTTTGATTTAACAAGTCAGACTTATAAACATCAACGTTCGACTCGACTCATTTGAAAGCTCGATTAGATTTCTCAAGTCGAGACAAGTCATTCAACCATACACTTTTTCGAACTAAACATGTTCATTTCAAGTCGAGGTGGCTCATTTGACCATATACTTTTACGAACCAAACATGTTTATATACTCATAAATCACGTAATCAAAATATAACAATTACCGAGTTCAAGCTAAAAAAACGAGTTAATCGATCTTGAGTCTGAGTCCATCAGCATTCAAGAACCTTATAAAGCTTGATTTTTAAGCATAATGTATCACTCAACTCCGTTAAAAGAACATCGAACTCGAACCTGGTACTTTTTTTCTGACTCGAGTTCGAATAGCCTACTATTCGAGTCGATTTGAATATTATGCTTTTCACCCCCAATCTGACATTTTCTTTCATTTTTAATCCGACTAAACATAAACTCTATTTATTTCTCACTTTCATTAAATGGCATGATCAACCCCCTTTTCACTCTAGCAAGGAAAACCATACGAATCATGGATAAAGCTTATCAACCATGCTATTGGTTAACATCCGAGTCCCGGTGCTCATGTTAAAATTTGAGTCCATATTAAGGATGTGTATAGTTGAGTCCAGGTGATTTTGTGTTTTCATTCGTTTCTAACCTTTTCTTTCTTTCTGCTTTGGCATTCTTTATTGCAATTGTTGTCCCACAACCAATCCATCTTTCACTGTGTCAACAAATCCTCCAATTGACGAAACAATAAGCATCTACCATTCCAAATTAAAAGACAAATATACAGTTAATTAACAAACGATTATTTTGGACTTCTGGTTCAGTTGCACAAGGTGCTTCAGATTATGTGTATATTCGTTTTAGCTAAGGTGCAGTTGTTCTTCTTTGTCCAGTGTTAGAGAAGTTCGAGTCTGGATGTTGTTCTTCAACGTATGAAATTTTGTGATATATTGGATGAGATGGTTTACCTCTGTAACTTGATGGCAACAAACAACTTTGAACATCATATAAACATAGACAAGTTGTTTAAATATTTCATTCGAGTTTTGACAAGTAAACTTCATTTGACATCCATGTACTTTTGACCATTGGAGACAAGCTCAAACCAACCAGGCACCACCCTTGTAGTTCTCTTTCTTTATCTTTTAAGCTAGCACATTTTGAAAGTAATGCATCTCTTTTGTTTATGGAACTCCGGGTTGTAAAATATGATACAATAAAATAAATCTTCAATTAAACGATTTATTTGCAGATCTGAGCTTCAATATGAGAAATTATATTCCCGGGTCTTTGGCTTAACCTTGATCAAAGCATCCAACGTTTAGCAAAACATGGAACATGAATATTAACTCAAATATGGGCTCATATTACAAATATAGACTCACATATATATGGACTCAGATGTCAATATCTAAATCGAAATGCAAATCATCCAACATTTAGCAAAACATCAAGTGGAAATATGGACTCATATGTCAAAATCTAAATCGAAATGGAAAAATAATGAGCATACGTCGTCGAAATCAATGGAGAACCAATGAAGAAGTCAAAACACATTGTGATATTTACCTGCAAAATCGAAATGAAAATCTAAATCTAAATCGAAGTTAAAATCAATAGCATACCTCGTCAAAAAAAGTGTAGGTTTTTTTTTGTAGTATATAATATTTATATACGGCAAATGCAACAAATAAACTCACACATCCTCCTCACCTATGGTGAGGTTTGAACCCCTGACCTCCTAAAAGGCCAAGGGCTACGATACCACTAGGCCAAAGGCCCTTTGGTAAAAGTGTAGGGTTTTGAAGAACCTGTGGAGAAATCAAAACCTCAGAGCTAGGGTTATATGCATCGATGAGGTAGTCTTGGGAGTGATGTGATACAACTATTTGTGGAGAAATTTGACACATCAAATTGTTTATTTGTGCACAGGTAGCAGGAATGGAGATGAAGAAACTCTAATCGACGAAATTAAGCTTTGAAGCTATCCAAACTGGTTGTGGTGCAAAGGTGAGACGTAAAATAAGGAAGAAGAAGATTGCGAAGGAAGAAAGTAACGTCTGAAGCAACCTTTTTCGGTGGTGGCATGGGTTAAAAACCACTGCATCAATAAACTTGTAAATTATGCTTTGTGAGTTGCAATTAAGAATTCTTTTTAAATATTGCATGAAATGACATTGCCTAATGCTATTATTAGTTTCACTTTAGAGTTTTTACTCAAATGCAAATTAATGTTATTAGAAGAGTACTCGCACAATGCATCGAAATGCATCTCAATCTTAATGTTTCTTTTTGTTATTTGTCTCTATCAATGTTATAACACAGTTTTTATATGGTTTTGAGAAAATGATAATTTTTTTTTGAATAAAATATAAATTTGAAGATTCCATAAAAACTTGAAAAAAAAAATATCGATATTAGAATCAAATTAAGTATTTAATAATCCTCGTTTTTTGTGTAATTTCTTTAATTCGATTTTCTATTATAATTTAATAATGAAGTATTTCCGGTTTAATATTATATTTTTTTGTAAAGATAATAATTAAATATCTTAAATGTTAATGATTGTCCTACTTATATTTTAGATTTTTATATTTAAAATGAGATCTTTATCCTATATTTAATTATGTTTATATGTAGTTAGTTACACATTCAAAATGAAACTTTAATAAGTTGTATTTACACACAATTTACTTTAATTTTGAATTTTAAGTAATATACATAAATAAATAATATTTTATGCATAAAAATGGTTTTTAAGAGTTTTTTTTGTCAAATGCTCTATAATATAGTATAAATATATATAGGGACATGTTCTTTTGTTAATCCAATAATCGATGTTAACTTTGTGAATCATCCAAAATCTATGGATGATATCAATTGTGACATATTTGTAGTTAATTAAAAATAAAGGATACCGAAACATAGGTGAACAAGGATATTTTTAGGAGAGATGTCCAAATTGGTTACAAATCAATACTTAATTAATTACACCGGTTACAAATCGGTAATTGTGCATTCCTTTTATAGTTCGTAGAATCATCTGTGTTGTATTATGAACACTTATGAATACATATGAACATATATGTAACTTATTATTAACTAATCTTAGTTCGTGGCTTTCACATATGAACATACGAGAACAATTATGAACACTTATTTACACATATTAAAACTTATGAACACTAAAGTAATTGAATTTCATATGTGAACACAATAATATATGATCAAAGTATTTCGCTTGTGAACACATATCGACCAAATATTAGATGTATATAGATACTGTTTTATGAAAACATTGGAACACATGTGAACAATATATACACCATATGAACATTGGCAACTACTTAATTAGTTTATTGTCTTTCACATGTGAACACAATACTTTCTAATTATAAGATTTTCAATCTTCTTGTATTGTGGTCTACCATCTTCACCCATGTTTATATATCTTGATTATGAATATTTTTCTCTCAAACACTCCTCCACCGTTATTACGGTTCAATAAATCAAACTCAGTTGTTTGATTTGAAGATTGATGTCGATTACATATATGTTGAAGATAAATCATTCAAGTTTCTTATCATATATTAAAATAACAAGTTATCTATAATTTGGAAAAAAAATAAACATATTATTTTAGCTATAATCATGAGATTGATGTTTTTGTAACTGCTCATTAATGAATGTGAAGTTAAGACAAAAAAAGAAGATTACGATTGTGTTGTCAATATTGATTGTATGGTGATAGAAGAACCTAATCTAACAAAAGCTTGTGATTGGTTTAAATGATTTGTATCGTTAATACATTTTTCATATGTATTCATAAATGTTCATAATGCAACACAGATGATTCTACGAACTGTAAAATGAATGAGCAATTACCGATTTGTAACAAAAGTAATTAATTAATTATTGATTTGTAACCGATTTGGACATCTCTCCTAAAAATACCCTTGTTCACCTATGTTTTGGTATCCTTCATTTTTAATTAACTATAAATATGTCACAATTGATCTCATCCATAGATTTTAAGAATCAATAACCAAAATTGGTTCACAAAGTTAACACCAATTATTGGTTTAACAAAAAATCTGTCCCTATATATATGTAGGATCTTTTGTTAACCAAGAATATGGTGTTAACTTTATAAACTTATGGGACCAATACAATTCATTCTTTAGTATAAGTTACTTCACATGTATGATATAATGATGAAGGACAAATAAGTATTTTTTATGTGTAAGTTACTTTTATAGTATTTAATGAGATGTTACAAATGAGATTCACTCTTGTAAGTTACTTGCATGTTTTTATGGATCGCAATCATATTATCATATTTCAAGATTCTAGAATTATTATGTTACTTTTAACGTGAACAATGGTTAATCAAAGTGAAATATTGCAGGTTCATATGTGAAATATTCCCAAAACACACTTAGGGGCTGTTTGGCGATTGCTGAATGGTTTGGTGCAGAACGGTTAAGTGGTCAGAATGGTTAAGAGGGCCAGAATGGTTAAGTGCTGAATGAAATAATGTTGTTTGGTAACTGTTCTCTGAATGACAGTAAATTACCATTTTAACCCTCTGAAGATGGACATACAGTAGGCTTGTGAAATTTCAACATACAGCATAACCCCATGAAATTTCAGTGCACATACAGTAGGCTTGTGAAAAGATAAAGCATAACCCCATGAAATTTCAACATACAGTGCATAACCCCATGAAATTTCAGTGCACATATAGTAGGCTTGTGAAAAGATAAAGCATAACCCCATGAAATTTCAACATACAGTGCATAACCCCATGAAATTTCTGTTGGTTTCCTAGAAAATCAATAACCATG